TCGTGGCAAAATCTCATGCTCCCCCTTCTCAAAATCGAGGGATGTCCTGATGTGTATGTCCCAGTTGTAATGCTCTTGTAATGCTCCATGTCGGTACCAATAACTGGACATGAAGTAGGCATCAGGACTTTTCCAAATGGGGTTTTCGAGCATCTTTGCGAGCGCAATGAGGGTACTGATCAAGTGACATGTATAACCCCATAAGAAAGCGTTTTATTTGCGCTTAACTTAGGAAAAACTTACAATTGGGCTGAAAGTCACTGAGAAGAGCCACTGTATTCTTTCGTATTGCCACAAAAATTAATCGATGGGAAGTTGCGCTCTACAAGTTTTGAGAGAAAATGCCATCTCCTTATAAAATACATGTTTTTTTTTTGGAGAGAAACCCATAACATTTGTAAGCATTTTCGTAAAGGCAAATCATGCAATGCTGAAAAGAAATATGATTTAGGAAATCACATATATTGGACATCAAGATCTAATTTCGTCAGCTGGTGACTATTATCAGTTTTCCATTCAATACATGGTCAAACAGGGCCCTTCTATACATGCATCCCTTGCCATTCGGATAGCAAGTGAACCAAACATAAACGTGAACTCAGCCATATCTGTCATCGATCGTGAAGGATGGAGAAAGCACGCGCAGCAAATAAATTCCTTGCTTTTGAATCTGCTCATTAGATCTATATCTTGAATTACTTGTTTTAAGCTCTACTTATTTCAATGGTCCTCCATAAAAGTAGTATTCATTCTCGTCGAAATAATTATATTGCAAACTATGTTGTCGAATGCATATCACCGATTGGAAATCGATTTGGAGGGCAAGAGCGTCAGACGTAGATCGCCTAGTGAATTTGGCCGAATGAAAATTTTGCGCGTGGCACTTTCCCTCGCAAGGAAGTTTGCTGAAATTTAGAATTTAAATGTTAGCTATTAATACTCATATAAATGCAAATTAATTAATATGCATGTGCAATTCACGTTTAAAGTGCAGTATATATTTTTTTAAGTTCCTTTGATATGCGAGGAATTCGCAGGAAGGGCCTCGAAACTTATTGCGGTGGAATTCATGAGACGGATACCATGTCGCATTATTTATTCGATTACTGCCTCAGCCACCCTCCGGAAACCCCAGCTATGAATATGGTAAGCATATACGGTAAATGAACAAAGGCTCCACTCTTTCGCTCGATTATACGAGGGGTGTTCAAAAAGTTTCCTGTCCGAGGCACTTGCAGTTGTAATAACGTCATTCTTCTCTCTCTCGGGAAGACACATGTTTTTGATGGTGATTGGAACATTTTCAACTCATTTGTCGTTGATGGACAGTTTCTATGAATTTTTAAAAATGTAAATATGCTACCAAAGGGTCTGCTGAAAGGTTATTAAAATTGAAGTGAATGCTGTGATTAATTTTTTTTTTTACTTTGAAGCAGTCGATCTCCTGACAGATCTTTTAACTGGAGCGTCAGTAGGACAGCATTCTCTCAGCTGCTAAAAATCTACTGGGAGATCGACTCCTTCAGGATGAGAAAATTCACAGTATTTTCTTCAATTTTAATATCCCTTCAGCAGACACTTTGGTACAACATTGAAAAAAATGCATATTAGCCGTCCATCATCGACAAATGAGTTGACATTTTCCCTATCTCCATCAAAAAAAAAAAATCCTGAGAGAAGTAAGACTGAAACATTACAACTGCAAATGCCTTGAGTCGGAAACTTTTTGAACGCCCTTCGTATACCTCGTACCCATCACGAGATTTAAATTTCGGATGACTTCTAAAGAAAATGAAGAATATAAAGAAGACTCCTTTCTGTGGCCCTTCGGTCCAGTTTTACTCCAGTCAGTCGTACCTTCTTGAACTCGTAGAGAAAAATAACATATTCCCCTGAATTTTCTGCTGCAAGCCAAAATGATGACTGTGTTAGCGCTTGACTTACTGCAGCTCTGTTGAGGCCCGTGGGGTATGACGCTAAAGCATAGATGCAGGGAAGCTGTGCCACCATTGGATTACAGCAAATTCTTGGTGCAGTAAGAGGCAAAGCATCAAAAATGGCAACGAGAGTAAAACAAAACACTTTTTAATTGAACTTAAACTGATATGATTTCATAATGGTCTCCATTGGTAATTGGTTTAACTACGCAAATACTATTCTCTTGCACCACCATTATGAAATCAGATTGGTTTAACCATAGGAATAGTGGGACTTTGAATACTTTATTTGCTTGTGTGAAATAAAAGATTAAGCCTACATCGGCACCTCATACCACGCCAACTGTATGAGAAAAAAAGCCTTGTCTCAATGGATAGAAAGCATGTCTCAATAGACAGCAAATTCGCACTCGTGTGCGAATATGATTTCTGTATGCAGAGAAGTCAGAAAGTCCGTCCTGTGCACGAGAAAGACACTCGCGTTATCTCGTTTTTATATTTTGCGATGATTGCATTTTTTTCACGTGAAGCAGGTAGATGGATAGCAACTTGAAATTACTTGAATAATTACTCGTTTATTTTGATCAGGGAATGTGAACAAAATGCAGACCAAGTTGGTACGATACCGAAGTAGATAGTCAAAAAGAAAGTGTGAGCCTTTTATGCCCCTACGGGGTACCCATATAGTTGAAGGTCAACGGATCCGGTTCATGTCACTCTAAATCACGTTATGCCTGAACTGGAACGTTATTTAGGGAAGCAATACTACTCTGTTTTGGATAGATTTTTAATTACTTACTCCCCATTCCTGAAGTTGCTGTTACGATACTCAAGAGACACCGAGTAATTGAGATCGTCATTTATCGCAGAGAGGTACAGCCACGAGTGCAGCCCATGGAGCGACATCCCTTCCTGAGTTAGGGAACTACTACCTCACAACACAACAGAAGAGCCCATAGGAAAGTATGGGGCACGAAGGAAACGGGGGAAAAGTCAAGTCGCAGAAAGTGTTATCCCCCCCCATAGAAGAAGTTAAGATAGAAAATGATGAGTTCTATTTAAACACTAAATCTCACTCCTCAGCCGTTCGAGTTCACTTTTGAACTCTGTCTTGTATGACCCGTTTAGTTTTTCTTCTTAGACTGAATTTCTTAAACCTATGGCCTATCATAGGTCCTCAAAGGTTCCTGGAAGACCCCCTATTGTTAGCCTCTTCGGACTTACATCAATGGAAACAGCTTCCCTAGTATAAATTTTTAATGCGTAATTTAATATAACCCATGTCCCCAGTGTACCATAAACTCAAATGCTCTGTTTGCATGTGATTGATTTCAGGCAGAAAAGTGGAGCGATTTTATCAGGACGAGCTATCCGTCATTCAAAAATCAATGCCTATTACGGATGTCCCGTAATTGAGGGGGATCATGTATGATTGAGTAGGGGACCCAGAGCACCTTCGTGGGAATAATAGGCTCTTACGTCTCCTCCCTTCATCCTTTGTTTTGATCAGCATGTTGTCTTCCTACTCTCCTTACGTCCTTTTTTTTTATAGTATCCACAGCCATCAATGATGCTATAGTCGGAGATGAATCTGTATTGCCTTCTTATTTTGCCTTCAATCGGCTTGCTATTACCCTTATCTTTGGAGGGAATTGCGGCCGATAATTGGGGAATTGAAGGAACGAAAATGGGCTTGCGTCGATATTCTCCCTTTCGCAGTCCCTTTTCTCTTACTTAGCTGGAAAGAAAAAACATTTGAAATCACTCATTTCGTGTGGCGAAGGGAAGAGCGAAATTGAAGGAAGGGAGGTTGCTGACGTCAGGTGACGTCATAGAAGAGTTGCGCTGTATTCGCAGGTTCGACCTTCCCAGTCCTCTCAGATTTCCCTTGCATACAGTGCGGCCAAGACAGTACTCTGCCGGTTCCGTACACACCGGTTGCTTTTCCCTCCGTTCTGTCACCCGTTTTATCTCTTCAGAGTGAAGTTCCTGGGAGCAATGAAATAGGCGTACGTTACGTTCATATACTGGGTAATTTGGTATGCCATTAGCCCTAGTGAATATTGGGAGACATGCTCCAGATTGCCTTAATCAGAACCTGTGCGTATGTTCGAATTGCATCATTGAAGATCTATCCAATTGAATAGATTGTACTTCCGTAGAAACCCAGGAAAATAGCTGGTGGCGCTTAATCGACATTGCGTTTCAGCTACACAGAGGCTATTGATAGAAAAGTTTGCCACATGTGATTACTTCCATTTTGGGTAAATCTGGCTTCCCTGCAAGTTCAAGTCAGACCTTTTTCTGTCGGAAAGGGTGAAATGATGGGATAGTAAGAATTTAACGAAAAAAGGGAATTTACTTCTGTTTTAGTATTGGGGGAGAAGTTCCAGTCTTTGACGTGACAGAGTGAGAGTTACGGTGTTTTGCTACTCCATGAAACACTTGGGAGAATTGGCGTAGAGGACTTGGGAGTTTTGATCCATATCTGCAAGTTATGCCGGATGGAAGACAGGGGCGGAGAGAGTAGAGGAATAGAAACGCGAAGAGGGGGGGATGTGGAGAAGGGAGAGGGAAAAGGGAGAGGAGGAGAAGGCGAATCGATAGATGGAATCGGCATAGATGGCGCTCGTGTGTCTCTCGTCTCCTTCGCCCTACAGTCGTTCGTCTATGGCGACAGTGCTGTTTCCAGCCGGCCTCTCAGTCAAACTCACTACCGCACGACTCTTCACTTGTTCTTTTTCTTTCTTTTTTTTTTTTTAGTTATGGAACTTGTGGTTCTCGTTATTCATAAATTGATTCCTGCAAGTATAGGGGGAACGCGGGTTTCTCCGGGAAGGGAGGACCTTTATTGGCATCTGACATGGCTTTCTTCTTCATTAGATCGTGTTTGTGTTGCAGTTTGAGACCGGGGGGAAAAGTGTCATAAAAAAAGCAAAACCAAAAGAGAAGTGCGGGCCCCGTGCTGGGTGAGTGCATGGGTGCGATCAGGGCTGACCTACCTTTCCAGATCTCTACCTGGTATCAGTACTCATCTTCATTTGGGGGATCATCGTCATTCCTATGGTCGTCCCGTGCAATCAGATAGTTGAGCCCCGCCGAGGACTTGTGGTTGTGCAGGCCCATCCCTTGGCCCCAACTACATCAGCTATCTCCCTCTATTCCACTGCCGTCGAACTCGTATCGCATCACACCAAGACCGGATTTCTTCTCAGAGAGGCTGTCAGATAGCAATAGAATCTGGACCGTGTGACGTTTGTTCATTAAATTCCAAAAAACCTCGACGTTGAACCTTTCTTCCTAACCTCTCCTCCCGCTGTTGCCAGTGCGTGTGATACCCGTATCGTGGTGCTATCGTCTTTAGAAAAAGTACGACAAGCGAACTCTGGTGATAAACTCATTGAAACAAATCTAAGAACAGAGATCGAGAGAATTTCGAAGGCATCTGGTGTTTTCATCTGCCTGTATACCTGTGTTAATTGGGGAAGTGCAGTATCCTCTTTCCTCATCAAGACTCCCTTCGGGTGACAAACGATTATAGGAAAGGAAGATAACCAATAGCGAATCAATATGCCTGATGTAAGTCCTACAGACTCCACTGATTCTCCAGTAAGTCCTCCTTTATTAATCCAGGTTCGTCCGTCATCGCTGTCGTTTCGACGTATCCCCCAATTCGAATGCCTGTCCCTGACCTCATTTGACCGGTATTCAGAGTCAGATTCAGTTTGGCTGCTGAATGGATGTACCCCCTTGAACCCTGGTAGCTCGCCATCTCCGTCTGGGTCAATCAGTCTCTCATGAACATTTTGGGATTTGCAATTTACTCTTTTGCATGGTTGGATGTAGTGAACCTGTTAGGTTGTCTCCCCGTATGCACTTTTTGTGTTTCACAATTGGACCAACTATTTCCAGCATGGGAGGTCAGATTCCTATCGTGTGGCCACCACACCTTCGGTACCGGATGACAACAGAACTGCTGATGGGGAGCTGAAGGTATCATTCTCGGCTGTTATCTAGGCCTAACAAAGTCACCTCGTCTTCCTCTTCCGCTTCCTCCGTGTGTCTTCTCTATACCTTTGCCCTCACAGAGCTCCACATGCTATGAGAAGTGCAAGCTTTCTCTCCACTGCAGGGTGTCTATTCCACAGGGATCTCCCAGATTTCTTTTCTCCTAGTTAACTTCGCCCTATGATGTCATCTTACATCTGCCATTTCTTCTTTCCTCCTGAATGCTCGCATATCACTTCACGCCTGATTTATCCTCCTTGCCCCGTTTGTCTGTTTGATGGCACCCCGCATCTTCATCACGTCTTTATCTTTGCTTGGAATGGTGCGGTGTACACCTCTTTATATGATTCTACTGCATTGCTTGATGGGCTTGTGGTATATGTGTGTACCTCCATTTCCGTTGCTTTTATATGAACATGCTATTTTCATGAAGCTACAAGACTCAATTGAAATTTCGGCATTCTTATTGAAGAACATCAAAAGGCAGATTACTTGTTTGAGATTCAGTTTTCAGTACTTTCTACTAAATGAATGAAATGCCTGGGAAAAGTAATTGCTGAAACCTATTGCATGATTTATTGTATGGTCACCTGTGTATATCATATGTAATGCTTATGGAAATGTAACCTCCACAGCAGGACAAATTTTTATATTCTATATTACAGGTCTCTGAACTAATGTAAACATGAAAAGTTGTGAATATGTGCTTGACTGAGAATGTTGGATGAGTGTATCAATTTTGCATTTTCCAGTCTAAACGACGGAAAGGCTCTCCAAAGAAATCAACCAAGGATGGGCGTAATTTAGACGAGTTGAAACAAGAACTCGACATCGATGATCATCAGATCTCAATTGATGAGTTGGCCACAAGGCTTGGTATCAACATCCAAACAGTAAGTCTCCCATGTGATTCCTTTTTGTAAATTTTTGTATAGCATAGCTTCAACAAGTATTCAATCTCTTCACTCCCTGCTATCCTGACCAGCATTCTGGGAGGAACATGGGAGATTATGGGCAAAGTAGTGACATGATTTGGATCTATTCCAAATTGATCTATTGTACTTTCATCTGATGGAAGAAATAACATGATTTGACTTCATGAGAGCAATGTGTTCCTGATTTATCTCATGCCTCATGTCCAATGTAGATAATGGCATAGCTTATTATGCAATTCAGTGTTTGAACTTGCATTTAATTAAAAATGCCTGAAAACAAATAGCATTCAATAAGATAGTCTGTGTTTGAGAGAGCACAACAGAGTTGCCACAAAAATCCCAGCCTATACTATGAAACCCGGAAATTTTGTAAGCCATATTCCTATTGAGATGTATCATCATCAGCATCAAATTATGATTGATGTCTCACATAAATATAGAGGCTGTTCATTTAATTGAAATGCTGAAAGTGAAAGCAATAGTTACTTCAATCAGTTATTTTCATGAAGCTGTGATACATATAGGTTCCTGATAAGAGTTCAAGGCAGGGAAGTGTTTTTCTTTGTAGCATAGAAGTTATGCTTCCCCCCCTTCATTCTGCCATGATAAGATCATGAACAGTGTATACATAGACTGGTTGTGCAGAAGGTGTTGTTTGTACCTTTCTTTGAGTATGCAAAAAAGAAAGTTGACTTCGATTCATTTTTTGTCCCATTTAGAATGCAGATGGATCCATAAGCGCCCAGGTATGGTTTTTCTTCATGTATCCTGAAAGAATCATTATGTGGTGGATCAAATATTGATTCTCTAACTTTACAAGGATGAAGAAACTAAGGGCATGCTGGCAGATTTTGATTTATTTGACTTTATATCTCAGAAATTTTAAGATGTACTATATTGTCTAACATTCACTACAATGTTGAAGCTGATGTAAAAGATAAGAAATAGTTGGAAGATAAGGAGAATACAAAAATTGGATATACAAAAAGCATTCACTGTACTCTTAAGATATTCTCAGCTCTAGATTGGCACCTTTGGCCAAGTCTTGAGTGCATCTAAAGCTCCCTTTCAGCAAGCTATGATTTGGAAGTGTTTACTTTATGACAATATTTCTGTATCTGTATCTGTCAGGTCAGAATTTTGTATGGTTATTTTGAGTTTTTCAAATTAAGACTTGCTAGAGAGAGCTTTTTTCTCTTTCAGGACTTTGCAAGAGGTGTCAAATTCAGAGCTGAGGAATATACCAGAGTACCTTGAGTTTTTCAATAAGTGGCTGTTGAGGATGCAATGGCATTTGTATGAAAAAAGACAGCATGCTGATGGGATCTAAAAATATGGACTATGTAGCTTTCTTAAATTAAAAAATAATTATTGCTGAAGGACACTTCTTATTCAATTGATCACTCCTCATATCCAAAATTTGCATTCAGTGGAAACAGTGATACTGATGACCTATCTCAGCATTTTAACAATAATGCAGAGCCAAATATTTATGCAGTTATGTCTGGATACCCATTTCTGATGAATGACCTAATAAAGCTCAGAGCCCAGATTTTGACAAGTTGTAAATAAGCAAGTGGAAAAATATGCTGAAAATTACTGAAATATCCACAATTTTAGCTTTTAGTGCTTGTGAAACACTTTATAGGATTGCTAGTATTGTGTCTTAAGGGAGCAAGGCCCAGCTAGACAATGGGTCTTGGAGTTCCTGCCTTTTGCAAATGAAGTCCCAGAGAACTTTCTTGTGCAAGACTATGTGAAGAAAGATGGGATTTTGAATTGGTAGCTATTCAATAGTATAATTTTATCCTTAGTGGTAAAAAGCATTATTGCCTACAAAGTGGTAATGGCTACCAAATGAAAGAAATTGAAGTGTCATGATGGAGTAGGGTGGAAACATGATGATGACTACTCAACTTTAACCTGTACTTGCTAATATAATCTGGCAGAAATTTTTTGTTGTTCCATGATAATGATGTATTGTAGACTTACAAAATGCTTTAATCAAATTAAGCATTGGCTAGAAATAATAATAATATGTAATTATCACATGAATGTCATTTAAGTTCCTGGAGTGTTTTGCCAAACTAAATGCCCAAAAAGTTACTTTTCAGAGAATAGTTGCTTGGTCATGTGGACCGACCCATGTATTAACCCAATGACTTTATTTATAAGTCCTCTGACTCATAGTGGCTCATAGTCTTGCCATTTTCCATTTAAATGTATTTTAAAATTTTACTTGTAACTGTAAACCTAAGGTGATTTTGAATCATACTTTCAAGGTCTGACATGCATTTAATAGTCATCTGCCATGAATTCATGCAAAATTCAATAAATTCAATTCCACAAAAGGAATGTATGTTAAAACCCTTAAGGCTTGATTTTTTCATGTGAAAAATACTTTTCGCTTTCCAGAAATTTATGAGCTCCTATGTAATGTGTTTGAGGGACATACAGTGTATGTATAGCTTATCCAGGCATTAGGGAGTTAGTGGATCTTTGGACACCCACAAATAGTGACAACTTCGTTCTCCATGGCATAACAAATGATCTTGTAAAAGGCCTGTCATTGTCTCCCCCTCAGTCGGTGGCATCAGTCACATATATCTCAAAGAGGAGTGTGTCAGTACTGTCAGAATTTTTTTCATCAAGAAGCAAAGAAAATATGACAAAGGGTGACATGCATCAAGCCATTTAAACTTGAAAATTGTGCATTAAAAATGCTTTTCTTAAAAATCTCTGGGCAGGATGTAATACAAACTTCCCCACAGGCGAAAGAAGGCCATCACAGCTCGACAAGTGGACAACACTGACACAAATCTGAGCTAGCAAACTCCCAAGGCAGGTCAACTTGGTTCGCCTGTCAGAGGACGTGGATAATCCCCATCAGCTGTCTCATTTCTCTTTGTTGTTATTTTTACAAAGGACTGGACAAATTGCTCTTAATGGCAGTAAGGGTTCTTATCTCCAACTTGCTCTCTAATGCCTGGATGACCTATACTGGGTGATTGGAAAGTCACACTTTATTTTTTTTAATGTGTAACTTTTGTTCTAATAAGGATAGAAATTCCACAGTTTGCATCATTTGAAATAATTTTTATGGAATTTTTTTAATTTAAATACAGGTGTTTTGATTGTGTAATAAAAGATTAGTGACCTTGCCAACATTTCAGTGAGGTATGAGATTTGGAGTTTCAGGTTCAGAGGTGGTGATAGAATGAAAATCATAAGTATGAAACTTTTGACACCATGATAGAAAAAAAACTGCCACCACAAGTTTCTGACAACAGATTCAGTAAAGGTCTCAACTGAAGTGATGACCTTCAACAGCTTGGACTCCCTGAGAAAATCTCACAGGGGAATAATGTTTTCACACAGCCCTGGAAATTAATGATAATGATGGAGCTTTGTTGATGTGTAATTGGAGTTTTAAAAATTCCATAAAAATGACTTTCAAGTACTGCAAGAAAGCAGTTTCTATCCTAATTTGATAAAAAGTTACAAAAATGTAAAAATAAGGAGTGATATCCAATCTTCTTGTAGTTTGTAGCTGATTTACTACAATGAGCATCAAAAGATGCAATAGAATATTGCTATTAAATATAAAGAAGATATGAAGTAAAGGTGTTACAGAGTATGGTAAGGGGTTAAAGAAATTGATTGAGCTTGATATCTCCATACTATCTTGTTATGTAAGTTGATGTTTTGTCTTGAATTACAAGTACACTGGCTGCAATTGAAATTGCAGCACTTTGGAGGAGTTGAGCAATATTGGTAATTTGATGCATGAACATGTAGCAATGCATCATTAAATCAATTTAGAGTCTCAAGGCCATTAGGTGATTCTTCTCAAAGAGAATCCACAATATGTCCTACTGCAAAGCAGGGTATTTAGGGGGGATGGAAGGATTCTGCTAATTGTCCTTAGGAAGCACCCAATAGAAGTTCAATAAACAAATGTGGAAGAGGAACACTCAATGGATTCTGGGAAATGTGGTAAAGTTTGAAGTTCAAATAATGAGACAATGCAAAGTAAACTTGCTAAATGCTCAAAGCATCACAGGGGAGGGATCATCATAGTTTCACTGATGTCAGTTTGACTATTGAGTCACTTCACGTTTTGCACTTTAAATGTTTAAAAGTCCTGTGTCACTATTGTTTCTAACTATTCATAGAGTGATTGCAAAAGTAGTGAGTTTGGCTTTCAGTGTTCCTCTTTTAAATTTGCATTTGACCAAGGAACAATTTTGTACTAAAAGAGCATTCTGAACCTGTACATTGGGTGGAGACTTGAGTACTTCATTGACTGTTCTCTATGAATGATAGGGATTGAGTGAGCAAGAAGCCAAGCACAGATTAGAAAGAGATGGACCTAATGCCCTCACCCCTCCGCCCACTACCCCTGAATGGGTGAAATTTTGCAAGCAGCTCTTTGGAGGTTTTGCCATGTTGCTTTGGCTTGGTGCCATTCTCTGCTTCGTTGCCTATTCCATTCAGGCTGGAACATTTGAAGAGCCTCCAGATGATAATGTATGTTTCTCCAGCTGTCATTTGCATTTCTTAGATTTCTTCAAGAGAAACCCACCTGATGCTTTCTTTGTTTCAGTTGTACCTTGGGGTTGTGTTGGCAGCTGTTGTTATCATCACTGGATGTTTTTCATATTATCAAGAAGCAAAAAGCTCCCGTATCATGGAGTCCTTCAAGAATATGGTTCCACAGGTGAGCTTTAGCTTATGCCCAATGCCTGCAATTTTAGGTCTGTATATGGGATTTCATCGATGGAATAAATATGTGGAATCATGAGGGATTGATTTCCTTGCAGTATGCTGTTGTCCATCGAGGGAACCAAACCCTAACTGTACGAGCTGAAGAACTTGTCATTGGTGATGTTGTTGATGTAAAATTTGGTGACCGTATCCCTGCTGACATCCGAATCATTGAAACTCGAGGATTTAAAGTGGACAACTCTTCACTGACTGGAGAATCTGAGCCTCAGTCTCGTTCCCCTGACTACACAAATGCAAACCCATTGGAAACTCGTAATCTGGCTTTCTTCTCCACCAATGCTGTCGAAGGTATATAATATTCTGTTCTTAAATGATATATCTACAGTGGATTCATCCTGAACATTTTTGTACTATGTTCTTGTTCCTTTCTTCAGGCACTGCCAAGGGTATTGTAATCCAGACAGGAGACAACACCGTGATGGGTCGAATAGCAGGCTTGGCATCAGGCTTGGACACTGGGGAGACTCCAATTGCTAAGGAAATAGCTCATTTCATTCACATCATCACTGCAGTAGCTGTGTTCCTGGGTGTGAGCTTCTTCGTCATTGCCTTCATCCAGGGCTATCACTGGCTAGATGCTGTTATCTTTTTGATTGGTATCATTGTCGCCAATGTTCCTGAAGGTCTGCTTGCAACTGTTACCGTAAGTTTTACTAATCTATGATCCATTACACTATGTATTTTTATGACCACATCTAAAAACAAAATACCCCTTTGTTTTCTCCCTTAAGGTGTGTCTTACGTTGACAGCTAAACGAATGGCATCCAAGAACTGCTTAGTGAAGAACCTGGAAGCTGTGGAAACATTGGGATCCACATCAACAATCTGTTCCGATAAAACTGGCACTCTAACTCAGAATCGAATGACTGTCGCTCACATGTGGTTTGACAATCAAATCATTGAGGCTGACACCACAGAGGACCAAACTGGTGCGAGATTTATTTCATTCTCATTCTGTTATCTTGTTGTTTGATGTATCTGCTTTTGCACACCTTCAATTGTTCTTAATTTCAGGAGTGAAATATGACAAGAACTCTCCTGGTTGGAAAGCCCTAGCACGAGTTGCAGCTCTATGCAGTCGAGCTGACTTCAAAGGTGGTCAAGACAATGTTCCCCTTCTTAAGAGGTTTGAATTATTATTTCATATTTCTCTTCACATCTGTCACATATACTTTAGTCAGACCCCTTCCATTTCTTTTTTTCTAAAAAAATTACTTAAACTCTTGAGCTCTTTTGGTCATTTTACTTTGCCCAAGTCATCATGATCTGTTGTGTAAATCTTTCTTGATCATCTTATTTAGGTGATCTATAAGGCTAATATTCCTTTTTTATTAAATCAGTATTTTCCCACCCTATGTACCACATTCTCACCAGTGGAGAACTGTGTGGGCCTCCTTGCTGTGTGTTAACACATTCACTGCCAAAGATGTTGATGGATGTTTTCACACCTCCTTCAATTTAGTTGTCAATTACTCAATAGATGGTACTCAAATGCAGTGACACTATCACACATTGAAGCATTACTGAGGGTATGTTGAAAAGTTCATTCAATTTGCTTCAGTACTTATAGAGATATGACAATCTTTTTACAGTAACTTGAAAAAAGACTCCCAAGAAGAAAAAAGGCAGGCACATGGAGAAAGTTACTAGCCATAAGCAACTGGTAGTGAATGTGTTAAGGTTATAAACTAATGCTTCACTATAACAAAGTACTGTAAATAAAAGTCTATCAGGGAAACCCATTCCTGTAGTGAGTCTCTATTTTACTAAAGTGATGGTTAAATTAATCACATTACTGAAAAAAATTCAGGGTGGCACAAAGGTTCCTTTACCCCAAACAATCAATATTGTAGTTACATAAAGAGGACTATGTGACAGAAATATTATACTGCAAAATAAGGTTCAACATACATTTTAGCTAGAGGTGTTTAAAATGCTTTTCTTCTTGCATCAAGCAAACTCATCAGCAGTGAGTTTGCTTGACAAACCTTACAAAGTTTGTTGTCCCACTTCAGAACATGGAACTCTTGCCCACAGAGGTGGAAAAAGTTATGTAACCTGGTAATCAGATTACCAGGTAGGAAAGCGACTGATTGGAAAGGCAAAGCAGGGAGAAAAAAAAGAAAATAAATAACAGAGAGAAAGAAGGAAATGTGCAAAAAAGAAGTAGGAAAACATTGTATTGTTTCATTGAATCAGAAGTGGTGGCTTAAAATTGATTTATTGCCAAGCATCCCCCCCCCCCCCCCCGTTCGCCTATGCTCTGCCCCCAAACACAGGGTCACTTCATGCACCTGCTAAACTGGGAAGATAAACCTTGGTACCAGGAAGCAGAAGAACATTTTCCACCTCTGCTTGCCAAGTTACAGTCTTCAACTGATAAAGATCCTTGGGTTTTTGACCATATGTACATTCCTTTATCATGTTACACATTGCAAAATCACAGGGTGTGCTGTCAGGTGAACACCATTACACTATTATATAGGACCTTTGTACCCCAAGAGCATCAATTAATTAACTACGATATTAATTTTTGGGGTAAAGGAACATTAGTGCCACCCTGTATAATCTTATGCTGAATATTAACCCCTAAAATTCATTAAGGAAGGTTAAAAGATGTTCCAAAAATGTTGTTTGTTTGAACAAAACTGTTCCTGCAACTTTGGCATACTGTTGCATGAAAAAAAATTCAGTGGAGGAACTTTTTTGCTTTGAAACTAAGGTTGTGGCTAAGAATGTCCCTTCATTTAAAGTAGCTAACCTCAAGTTGGTAATGATGCCACATAACCTGAAGTAAGTTGATATCACTTTAAAAAAAAATGCCTTAGTTCCATTATGTTTTACCATTTCAGAAGGTGTTGGTGTGCTGAAAGCATGCATTTCAGATTATTTAATCTAATAAACTCCTTAATCTCTGTATACTTCTTGAAATTTGGATGATACACTATAATGAATGAGTAAAGAATAATTGATGCAAGGCCAATTGTAAAATCTAGATATTTTGCATAGGAGATGATAAGGAAATGAGACTTATTAACCCTTTCCCTGGAGTCAGTGTAATATTACATCTACATTTTCTAAATGTTTGAGTGTCCCTGCCAGGGAAAGGATTAAACTATAAAAGTTGAATTATTTTAATATGTTCTTAATATTTTTGCACATGCATAAAAAAAACTTAACTGACAATGAACCTGTGACTGCATAGACAAGCATGTTTAAAAACAGGACAGGAGTAAAAATTTCAAGGTCATCACAACAATGGATGAGTAGGAAGTCAGTCAAACCTGTGAATCAGTGCAGAGATGCACTACTCATAATGAACAGAGGGAATAGCAATTCATTGACTCTACTCCACATTCCCTTAGCCTTGCAACTCTGAAATTCAGCATTTTCACCAATTTCCTTCCATCATTAATTAATTCAGATGATGGTGTGACCGAATAAATCTTAAAAAGCTTAGGGGAAAACCTTTAGAGGTCGGAATTGTTTTCCTCACATTTACATTTTGTAAGAATTCCTAAGCTTACTGCAAATTAATTGTTTGTGTTTGTTTCATTTACTAATCAGAGAAGTAACAGGAGATGCTTCAGAAGCTGCTCTCCTGAAATGTGTTGAGATTGCTATGGGAGATGTAGTAGGCTACAGAAAGCGACACAAGAAAGTGTGTGAGATCCCATTCAACTCTACCAATAAGTACCAGGTGAGTGAGTCAATTTTTATTGTATGATTTTTTAAATATTGTATCAGCAACCAAGTGACCACAATTAAAGGACAAGCCTGAAAAAAAAAAGACATTGAATTGAATTAAATATTGAACATTGAAATAAAAGCAGACCTTTAAGTCATGGATATGTAGTGAACATTAACCCTTTATGCTATTGAGTCCTGGCATCCATCTTGCCATTACTGTCGCCATTGGTTAGGCTCCTCTTTTCTCTCTCCCTGTTTGTTTTTTTCCCCAAGATCTCTTCATGATATATTCATGGAAGATTGATTTCTTTTGGATGTCTCCTTGATTGTCATCCATCTTCTCATCTTTTTTGCCATCCTTGGTTATTGATAGTTGAGTCCAGCTTGTGCTTTTTAAAGTCTTTCATTCTCTTGTTCGTGATTCTTGTTCTGCATTCACTTTCACTGTATTCTAGGATATTTCTGATTTCAACAATGTTTGCCTTGAATGAATCTGAGCTTCTGTTATGTCTTAAGAAGTTTAATTTTTCACTGGAAATGTGGATTTGGGTTTATATTCCTTTGCTATAGGTCACATTGTGAAAACATTGGATATTGGGAGGGATGGGCTTTTAGAAATTTAAAAAGCCAACCTCATGCTTTAGGCATTGTTGTTCTTTTGTCTCAGGTTAGTATCCATGAGACCGAAGATCCCAATGACCAATCATACCTGTTGGTGATGAAGGGAGCCCCAGAGCGTATCCTTGAACGTTGCTCCACCATCTTCTTGAATGGAAAAGAATTCCCTATGGATGATCACTGGAAAGACTCCTTTAATGCTGCCTACTTGGAGTTGGGTGGTCTCGGGGAACGTGTTCTTGGATTCTGTGACTACAAACTCCCTTTGGACAAGTTCCCACCTGGCTATCCATTTGATGCAGATGAACAGAACTTTCCCCTGAGTGGACTTCGTTTTGTTGGTCTCATGGCCATGATTGATCCTCCTCGAGCTGCAGTTCCTGATGCTGTGTCCAAATGTCGATCAGCTGGAATCAAGGTTATCATGATCACTGGTGATCACCCCATCACAGCCAAGGCCATTGCCAAGTCTGTTGGGATCATCTCAGAGGGTATGCACATTCCACAAGCTTCTTTAGGAGTGATAATATTTGAGTTTAAAGCTATGTGCACTGGTGGACAAAGTTAATGTAACAATCACGAGAAGCAGAATAACGTTTTTATTCTATGAGGTATATAACTGAATATTTTTGTAGAGATACAATTTATCATTACCGATACATTTATCATTACCGATACATTTATCATTACCGATAAGTGTATAAAAATAGGAACACTTTGGACCAGTAATAACAGTTATGATAATTACATCATGAAGTGAAACATTAAATATTCCCACAGACATGCTTAGAAGAAGTCAATAGTCACCGCCTTTTTATAGGCTTCACTAATGTGCATGTTGCAATGCACATATCTATTTCAATTGGATATTTGGAATTTGCATGTAAAATTGCATATAGTAGTGTATTTTCACCTTCTAATTTACTATTGTAATTAAAATATTGACGAAAAATGGTGTTACCTTAATTTTGTCCACCAGTGTAGTTGAAGCTATGGGTTCTTGTGTGATGGCAGGCAGTGAAACAGTGGAAGATATAGCAAGTCGTCTGAATATCCCACTTTCTGATGTGGATCCAGCCCAAGCTAGGGCATGTGTTGTCCATGGTTCTGAACTCAGGGATATGACTGCGGACATGATTGATGATGTCTTAAGGTATTTAACCCTCTCTACAAGCCCCTTTGCCATATCTATTCAATTCTCAAACCCACCTGATGATGTACATAATGTTTCCCTCCAGGAACCATTCCGAAATTGTGTTTGCCCGCACTTCGCCTCAGCAGAAGTTGATCATTGTGGAGGGTTGCCAGCGTCTGGGTGCAATTGTGGCTGTCACTGGTGATGGAGTCAATGATTCACCTGCCTTGAAGAAGGCTGACATAGGTCTGTCAGCACCTCCAGACTCTTTTCTCTCTTATGAGACATTAATGAACTAGTATGCCATAATTCCTATTGCTTTCCTCTAGGTGTTGCTATGGGTATTGCTGGTTCAGATGTATCCAAACAAGCAGCTGACATGATTCTGTTGGATGACAACTTTGCCTCCATTGTGACTGGAGTGGAAGAAGGTCGACTGATCTTTGACAACTTGAAGAAATCAATTGCATATACCCTCACTTCCAATATTCCTGAGATTTCTCCATTCTTGCTCTTCATCTTGGCTAATGTACCACTACCTCTTGGTACTGTCACCATCCTCTGCATTGACTTGGGTACCGATATGGTAAGTTGCTGTTTCTTGCTTCTTTTTCCTCATAACAAAAAGATGGCCTTTCTTCCTCTGATTTGGATGGAAGATACCCTCAATTTTAGTCATGTTGTGTACTGTCTTCAACTCTTCATCTCTTCATATTTATGTCATGCATTGATGAAGGTGCCAGCAATCTCATTAGCATATGAGGAGTCAGAATCGGACATAATGAAACGGCGACCTCGAGATCCCTTCCATGATAAGCTAGTCAATGAAAGGTAACTTTGAAAATAATCATGAACAGTCTCTTTCACATATTTCTGGGATAGCACTCTAGTTGCATGGGTGAATTTCAACACCCCATGTTTCACAATCAAGTTTGAGGTATCCCATTTAGTAGATTGAGAGCATCACCTCCTATGGGAGAGCATCACCTCCTATGGTTTTTTTTTTTTTGCATGATTACCAAATTTGCGATGGTAGTGGCATGACCATTACCCAAAAATGCTTTGAGTTTGGAATTGAATCTTGCACAATCCAGGTTCCAGCCATCTCTCTTGCCTATGAAGAAGCTGAGTCGGACATCATGAAACGTCAGCCCAGGAATCCATTTACTGACAAATTGGTGAATGAGCGGTAAGTCTATCAGGGGAATGCCAAACCTGATGTTGATTTGTGAAGGACATTGTTGACATGTGTTTCAATGGATGCAAATTGTCTAACTGAGCTCAAATGCTAATTGATGATAGCATTTAATATTGAGTGGTGGTTGAGAGTAGCAACATAGTTCTGATTTTGGATGATTGTTGGAAGTAGCTGTCTTTCTTGGTTGAGAGTCCCATTGCTTTGTGCTGAAGTGATGAGGAAGGTGAAGGATTTCATTAGTCATGCAGCAGTTGATATTGGTCTGCTGTAAGTGATACAGTCAGTATAATTTATGTTCCCTATATGCAGGGTGCTGCACAAAATGACTCAAATTTTATTTATTTATTAAAACAGTACCACTTTTTGAAGATAGTAGGCATTAGCATAGTTTGAGGAGTACTGTTGAAAATTTTATAGCCAGGTTCCATCAAGCTGAGTGATAGTTGAGTGTCCAAAAACTCAATTTTGGTGCTTGCTTGTGGAAGATGTGTAAGTAGGTGTTGTGTGATGTAACAAACTCCTGCTAAGAACACTATCCTCCATTTGTATTTTCAATTGAAGAATGAAGGAACTACATGAGACCCGAAAAGACAATGACCAAAGACAATGTGAAGCAATGAAACTGTTACTTTGGGTCTGATGCAATTTCTTCATTCTCAAATTGCAAATGCATGCAGTGGTAGGGTTCCATGCAGGAACCCTTTTGGTTTCAGTGAGCTGAATCTCCACCTTGCTGCACTCTTCAACTGAACACCATCCTTGTGAAGCCACTTTCCACAAGCATTCACCAAAATATGCAGTTGTCAGCTGTGACTATGTTGACAACATTGAGCCTGGCAGAACCTGACAAACTTTCCAAAGAACTCTCTTAAAAGATATGCTTATGTCAATGGTGCACAACTTTCATTCTACAGAGGGCTGAAATGAGATCTTGACTAATGTTCAAGGACCATAAATGCTACTGAAGGTCATATCTACAATATCCATTTATTAATGAGAGGCACAATAAGTGGCATGACTGGTGTGTATAGGGTGCAGTTACACTGAAAATATGTCTCACTCATCCCTTGGATAAGATGCAGCTCAAAACTCCCTGCAGGGGAAGTGAAGTGCTGGACCATTTGCATTTAAGGTTTATATTCATTTGATCAAGTTGAAGATATGAAGATATATAAATATAAGGCTGACTCCTCTGGGGCTGAAGGTTGTGCCATGATTGCCACATCATGCCAACTGCATATAGGAAACTGTACTCTTTTAATAGATGAAGCAAATGTGTCATTTTGTACACCTCCCAGGGTTTGGAGTGCTTTGAAGCAGAGCTCATGAGTGTGAGGATGAATCAATAAATAGCTGGAAGAGTACAAAGCAGAGCCAGAGAGTAAAGGTTAAAAAAGGGTGCTGTAGGATGGAAAACAGAGGGTAGTGGAAGATGAGCCAGTGTGAGGAGTAGAGGAACTAGCTGAATAAATATTGTCAGATTTTGGCAGTGGAGTGTAAGGGATGGCCAGTGATACTTGATGCTCTGTATGTATTACAAGCCATTCAAGTTAAAGTAGGACATATGTACAGTGACCCAATTGTACAGTTGTCTGATGAAAGGCAGTCTCCTGCAAATCCTATTGAATTGAATGGACACAAACTTAGGGGATGAAGTTTTGGATATGAAGTGGCAAGGATAGATGGACCTGCCCTGACCAGATATATGGTGGATCATGGGATTATAGTTTCCCTGTTTGAATAGCCCATTGAATTATTCTAATTCTTTTGCTACTTAATTTAGCACTTCTTTTCTTGTTTCACATTTTACTGTTCTTGCTATATGGCTTGTAATAAGATGAATGATACTATGTTGACACCAGGGAAAGGGTTAATGAACTGCACCTTCTGAATCATTCCGCTTAGAATAGGCCATGTTGCAAAATCAGTAAAGCATGGAAAGAAGCACAACTAAATAGGCCATTAGAATAGGCTAAGTATAATCCTGTGGTCTGTCACATCTTTGCTGACTGGGGTGTGCATCTATTGTTGCCACCTTGTTCATACTCATACTCATTGATGAAAGCAGCGTGAAGTCAGGATATCAATAATCAGACTCTTGGTAGACTGGTGCAGCTCACTACCTTCCAGGACCTCATCACAACAAGGGGATTCAACTGACACCTGCACAGTGTGGTGCATCTGAATTTCTGTACCAGGTGTTGCAAATCTTCCTTGAAACATAGCTGCAGACATTGGCTTTTCTATGATAAACCCATAATGTGGCCTCAGCTATCCTGCTCTTCTTACACCACTCACCCTTATCACATACATCAGCTTAATCCATCTGAAGAGTTAGTTTGGTGGTCACTCCTGTTACCCTGTGTACCTCGTGAGGCACTACTGCCATTTCATGCTGCCTGGTTGGTCAAATTATATGTTCATATGGCTATGGTGGCAGCCTCGCTGCCAACTGTTTTTGTCACTGGGTACAAGTAACATACACTCAGTACTGAAACCCCCAAGTTACCATCCATTTCTTCCCATAGATTATGCAAGACTGCCATTCATCTGTCAATTTCATAAATGGGTCACCTTGTTGCTGTGTATTTTACTATCTAATTTAAAAAATGTGCACACATGAGCTTCATCTGGTCCTGTTATCCTGGCATTAGTAGTATAACGCTCTTCATAAATGGGGTCAACTGACTTTGCCACAAAAACTGGTTGTATTGAAAACATATGTATGGAGAGAGCCCATGAAGTAGAGATGCATTTGTTTATAAGATCCACATTTCTGTAAGGTCTAGAAACTAACAATAAACACATGGAAAATGCTCCAAATTTAATACAACCAAAATTATGCAAGTTGTTTGCTGTAAAACTTTGTACAAATAAACCACCTGAGCACTAGAAGTCATGAAGTTCATGTCATAAATATGGTGTGGTGCATATGTGCTTCATCTTGCCCCATGGTCCTTGGCTTGTTCTCCCCCAGAAATTTTCTTTTCCTGTTCATTTTTCGGATTTCCATGCAGAGATCATAGCAAATTCTCTGTTGTTGGAAAGTTCATTTTGTCTTTATTCAGTGTGCAGTACATTAGAACTTTTGCAATAATCCCTATAGGGTGCTCAAGGGAATATGACAGGGTCCATCCCGTCTACTGCTTATCGATGGCCAAATACTGGTGTACTAACAATAACATAAATATCAAGGACAGTTGTTTGATGACAATATGACTATAGCCAGTTATGAAATGACTCAGGCTTTATATGTGAAGCATGGTTGCATGAATGGGACCCAAGTTTAATGGCTTAGCGGCTAGGGCCTCTGAGTCAAACCTGGGAGACTGTGAATAGCCCATGCTGTGGTAGCCTCCCTTCTACCAAGAACTGACCAACCTGCATTTGGGGAATCTGCTGTCAAGATAATGTACAAGTTACTCTGTGTCATGTCTATGACATACTGGTGCAGTGCATCTTGTAAATCATTAATGCCAGCCATGGACCTCAGATAGCTGTGAGGTGACCCCATAAGGCTTCCTCCAGATCAGAAAAGGGATATCCTCCTCCCTTGGGAACTATATTTATGTGGTATGCCTGAGCAAATGAGGCCCCAACTTCATCACTGGGCATTTTACTTTAAAAAATTTGTTGTCCTTCATGTTTGCTGCATGTCCCATCTTAGAAGAAAAAAGATTATGTTGCTTTTGTCTGGCATATCATAACCAAGTCTGTTAATGATCCAAGACTACAGGCTATTCATAAAGCCACTGGAGGAAATATGAAAATTTGATTTGATTTGTTCCAATATCTGCCTGTGATTTGATTTTAGCAATCCTCATTACTTTCTTGGCTATTCTGTACAAGCATAAGGATAAGATGTACCTTTTCACGATCAGGTTTACTTGTGTTCCTTCTAATGGGGCTCCCAGATGTTATAAGTTTCAGGCCCATAGTTGAACAGGTTCTCTTATTCCTCCTTCACAAACAAGGACTCAAAAGTGAGAGTTTCCCTGATAGGAAATACTGTTCATTGATTTGCCATTTGTGTAAGCAAGAAAAATCCCAGTAGTCTTCAAGTCAGTATTCCATGGTGCCATGTACAGTGCTTTCATAATGAGTTCATGCACACTGTGAATGCAAACCATTATTTTTTATAGGTCCATCAATAACATATCTAACATTTCCTCCATTATTATGAGGTTGAGGCACAAGTTCTGACCCTCTATGACCTATGTTTAGAAATTTGACTGTCATTTGCTGATGTAAAATTATTGCAGCTATTGTGTTTTTTATTTGATTGCTGGTTGTCTGCCAAATATTTTGATACCTTATTTACCACAAACTGTTTATTGTACCACTCCAATTTTCCGCATGATGATTGACCAAAATGTTTACTTCTGCGCCCTCTTACTTAACACGTACCACCACAAGCTGACAGCAACCACTACATACCAAGAACTGCAGGAAACATGTGGTGAAGCTGCTCCAAGCCTTTTGACACAAAAGCAATGGCTCAAGAAGTTTGCCTCTCGGAGCAACAACATTGATGACAAACCCCACTCTGGAGGACCTGCTGAGCTGAAGAACGAAGATCTGCAGCAGCTGCTCAATGATGATCAAAGCCAATCTTCACTTTCACCAATCTCCAGCCATTGAGCCTTGTTTTCTTTGCTGAGTTCGTGGGGTACTAAAGTGCTTTGTTTGCCACCTTGCTGAGGTCATGGAGATGTCTGATGACATTTTTTTGGTCACATCCAAGCTGCTGTCCAAGTTGACATGAAGATTGGCCCAGGTCATCATTGAGCAGCAAATGAGGTATCAAAATACTCAGCAGACAACCAGCAATCAAATACAAAATGCAATAGCTGCAACAATTTTACATCAGAAAATGATAGTCAAATATCTAAACATATGTCATAAAGGGTCAGAACTTAGCCTAATACTTATGACATGAACTGGTATTCAGTAAATGTCCTAAAAATTTGAAAGACCAGGAGCACCAATGCTCTCATGGGAGTGTGCCAACACTTTCTGAAAGTGCTGTACAGTTCAGAATGGGCAATCATGTTCATGGTAAATAATGATGACTTTTCTAGTCCTTGTGAAGGTCTGAATGTCATCATTGGTGAAAACAAAGTCTCATATGTGGCTTCATGGAAGATTCTGTTTTTGGACAGTGTTTCTACTGTTCTTGGATTGTCAATTGTGTGTTTCTCTGCAGGTGATGGGATTTCTGCATGTGTCTTTGCCTGTATCTATCACTTATTCTTGCTGCATGTCCATGCTGCATGTTGACAAAATTGCAGACCAGGACTGCTTTATCCCCACTCAGTAATAATAGCAGAGGGACTGTGTGTGTGTATAGACAAACTGCACTATTAAAATTGAGTCAAAATTCCATGCATTGTTTTCCAATTGTATATAATAACTAGCCATTTAAAAAATAACAAGTAATGAAATCCCATTAGAGTAAGGAGTAAAGTAAGGCAGTTAAAATAATATATGGAACATTTATTTTAAATGAAAAGATTTATGTTATTGGTGTTATATGTCTGAAGGAAAAAAATAAGGTTTTATTTGCATATTAGAAATATTTCAATAGTTTTTGGCTTGGCCAATTAGCTTATAGGTGATTTAAATAAGAATGTATATGTCTTGGACAGACTGATTTCCATGGCTTATGGACAAATTGGGATGATACAAGCATCAGCAGGCTTCTTCACATATTTTGTCATCATGGCACAAAATGGATTCAAGCCTTCTACTCTGCTGGGTATCCGTCGCCAGTGGGATTCCCATGCTATCAATGATCTTGAAGATTCATATGGCCAAGAATGGGTAAGTCATTTCTTCTCCCTTCCTGATTCTTTCTATCAGGACAGAACACTTGAAATAGCTTCATGGTTTCCAAACAGACATACCAAGACCGTAAGATCTTGGAATACACCTGCCACACTGCCTTCTTCACTTCAATTGTGATTGTGCAGTGGACTGATCTGATCATCTGTAAGACACGACGGAACTCAGTATTCCATCAGGGAATGAAGTGAGTTGAATTTTGTACAAAGAAACCTATCCTGGGGAACTACAAGGTATGTAGTTTGTATGCTTTATTTCCAGGAACTGGATCCTAAATTTTGCCCTTATATTTGAGACATGCTTGGCTGCTATTCTATCCTATACACCCGGTATGGACAAGGCCCTGCGCATGTATCCTCTCAAGTATGTCTCCATCTCTCAAATTTTTTATCTTCTCTTCATCAAGAAAATGTTTATTTTCTGATCTTCCTTGTATTTTTCATAGATTCATATGGTGGTTGCCTGCCTTGCCATTCTCTCTTCTCATCTGGGTTTATGATGAATGTCGTCGGTTCCTGATGCGCCGCAGTCCGGGTGGATGGATAGAGAGAGAAACCTACTATTGAAATGTTAGAGAGGAGAGCTCTCTCAATCCATGTAGCCTTTTCTGTAGTGGTGATATGACAAGCCATATTATTCTGCCAGACCTCACAAGTTCGACACTTTTTTCCCCTTCCTTTTCTTTCTCTTTGTGCCATATTTCCCTATGGCTTTCTCTAAGATTTTGCATATCCAGTTGCTCCATTCCTCCTTGTCCTCTCCCTCATTCTTATCTCTCTTTGTACATAAAACTGTAAGACTGAAGCTCAGATCCCTTTATGAAAATTTGTCCCTTGCTTATGAGGCTCAGAAGATCTAGAGGAATACAGTACTAAGAAGCGATGGAATCCTTGAAATTGAGCAAAAATCATAGTGTAACGCGTGTATCTCTGGTCACACCACGACCAAGGCCTTTCCCTCTTGGCTTCCTTGTCCATTGGTGCTGCTCCTGTCGACTCATTTCTATTTGCAATGCAGCATGGAAAGATCTCATGACGGGACTCGTGCAACGTTTATGGCTGCAAACCTCTTGTGTTCACATCTGTTGTCATCTACAAGGAGCTCAATGTTTCTTTGTTTCCCTTTCCCCCCCCCCCCCCCATATCTCATTTCTCTCTCACTATCCCCATCTTTTGGAGTTTTTATTCCTCTCTCTTTCATTGCATATCTCTTCTGCACAGTGTTTATGTTTCTAGAAAATATGCAAAGGTGACATTCCAAACAAACCAGTGGTTGGTCTTCTCTGGTCATCTGATATTCAGCCCAGTGCACAAATCCATTCATCCATTCTTTTCTGTCTCCTGTGGAGTATTCTTTTTTCTAAGTCTCCAATTGGTCACCTTTTTTGTCCTCTTCCTTGAATCTCCCAACGTCAATCTCATCCCCCTGTTCAAGTGCAATTCTTGAGAAGGAACAGCAAAGGAGAATATCATGAACAAATCTCTCATGCATTTAGCAGTGCATATGCATTGAAGAACGATAAAAAGAAGCAAGGCTGAACAGAGCAGTTTCTTTTTTTTTTGCACTCCTTTTATGGAATTAATAAGATTGAAATCTATCATCCACACTTGTATGTCTTGTTGCATATTTAGTGAGTTTGTTGTCAGTCTCATGTGAGTAAAGGATTGTGTGGTGAGATCATTTTTATTTTTTAGATACGTGCATGAATGAATGAAGCTGTTCCATCTTCTGATTCAGTGAACTCGGAGGAAGGGGAAAGTTATTGAATCGATCTTTCTTTTTTCTATACTCTCTCTAGGAATTTGATGTATGCAAGTGATGGACCTTTCTCTAGTGCAGTCAGTATTTACTAGAGTCCAGCACCAGAGCCCCTGTGAAACCTTTCATGTTGCTAGCTGGGTTCTTGTATGCGTTATTGAATGCCTCCATCACCTCCCTCCTGTTAGTCCATGAAATGAGAACTCCTCTTGTTGATTCACTCTCTGCATGTGCATATATTCATGTTTGTTTGCATGAATGAGGGTGTGCGCCACAGGGCCTAATGGCAAGAGTGAAAGAGAAGAAACCAGGATCTGGTGGGTGCATTTCATGTGTGGGGAGTGCTTGAATGCCTTCAGTCCAGCAGAGAAACAATAAAAGGAATTTTAGATAAAACTACACATTTTGACCTTTCAACTTATTCCTCTATCATGAATGACTGATGCCTTTTGTATATACTGTATCTATGTCTATTGTCCATTTATGGTAATAGAGGTTGTATAAGGGTACAAATGCAGCCAAGGAATTTTAAGTGCTCCTGATCTTTAGAGTGATGAAAGAGTCTTAGCAGCCTCACATTAACGAAACCTTTCGAAGCACAATCAGAGTTTCAATTATGTGGTGACGATCATCCGTGCTTCCGTGCAGAGAAGAGACATTGGGACAACGGTCAATCTTTGTGACTTCGTGATTCAATCAGGTCTCACTAGAACTGTCCCTTTTCTGAACCCAAAAAGTACGATTTTTTCGCTTTGGTCATGGACGACGATCTGTCGACAATCGTACGGTCAAATTTAGGCAGATGCAAATGTCGCAGAAATAACCAGAGAGACATTATACCGGCTGGGGCAAAAGAAAAGCTTTCTGTTTGAGACTATAAAACCTGCTCTAGAAGTGCTAGGTTGGTTCATTTTTTGCATCATGCAAAAAGCACAAAAATTTGTTTCATGAAAGTTTTGAAGTCTTGGTTGTTAGGGTAAAGAGCAGCAGCCGTTGAAAGTTCGCGAAGAAAATTCCGCTTTTCCACGTATTGGGAGGCAGCGATTTCAGCAATACTCTCCAGATGTGTCTCATTTGTCGTCAAAAGCCTGCTTCTTATGGCAGTAATCGTATTGCAAATATTGGATTTGTAATGTCATCATGTGTCAAGCTTAGCGTGAATGGAAAAAGGGGGCTGGGGAGGTGGCCACGGGAACGCCATTTTATTTCTTACTTATGCTTCCTTTTTTGAAAAGTAGGGGGTGGGCCACGTGACCCCTCCGTTCCCCCCGAAGCTACACTGCTGTGTCGTATCTTTCAAAGGAAAAGTCACTGCATTAAGGGTGTTTTAAAATGTAGTGCCGGAGAGGAGTGAGTGCGATAAGTGGCGCTGCAGGAACTGCAAGGATAACCGCGACCAAGGGATCCCATCAACGTTTGAGTTACTGTATATACCTCTCACGTGCAGGGCCTCCCAGAGGGGGGCAAAGGGGTCTCTGGTTTAGATTTTCCCCAGGCCCCTGGAAACCTCTGGGCTCGCGTGTACAAAGATGGGCGGGAAGTCCCGAAGCCCGAGTCCAGCGGATCGGTGCGCGCGTCATCATTGTCATGGGACGATGATGGAGCTCACACCATATGACATTGGATGGAGGATCTCCATGTCCTATGAGACATCTTCCGCAACATCGCAGGTGAAGTAGAGGGAAAGGTAGCACGGGCAGCAGTCTTTAACTCGTCCGTCGTTTGGTAGCTCTTTTTTGCTACGATTGACAATCATGCTTTTGTCGAAGTAGGCTCCCAAATCTTTTGGTGAACTTTTCCTGAATTATTGGGATGGCATCAACTGTGTGCCGTCGTTCGTAAGCCCGCACGCTAGTCACCAGACGTTCTTCGATGGTATAGGAACTACTATCTGCCATTTTCTCTTGCAGCAAAAATAATAGCTTTAAAGGGAGGGTTATAGCGGCTTCCCGCCCACTCGGTACAAGGAAATGAGGAACCCGAAGAACTAGTCCGATTTGGGAAGCAGTCCATGGTCGATTGCTGTGCATTCGAGCGAAAAAGCAACGGAACGTTTTTCAAGCCGTCTGTTGTAGGATTGTCGGAAGTAAGACTCGCGAGGGTGGATCATTCTACGAGGAAACATTAAAAGAAACCAGAAATGTGCAGTATACGTGCGTACGCTGCAAAAATCATGCATAATTCGGAGTCGCCACTCATCGGTGTCTCATGAACTCAAATATCGACGGATGCTGTGTAAGTAGTATCTATGTATGCATGTACCTCGTATACGCTCGTAGCAGCAAAAGAAGATTGCCGACACAGTCAGCAATTCCTGTAAGTTGGAGCTGGGCTCCTTCATTAAATTCCTAACAGAAAAAGGGGTTAAGGGATGCGAAGCGTACCGTCGCACTTCGTAAGTTTACGGTGACGAGTTTACGTCGCAACGGCAAGTGTACGTACGGCGTGAAGGTATTTGCTCGTGGAAGAGAGAGTGTTCTGGATGAGACCCACAGGTGTCGCCTGACGACATCGACGACGGTCGAGAAAGTGGCTAGCATTTACGCACGACACGATCGTCGCATAATACCGTGCCGCCTGACCGAACGGTTCGGCATCGCCGACGACTGGTTCTCATCTACAGTCGGCGATTCTCGTTTTTATAAAAGTTCAGTGTTCCAAAAACGCAGCTTTCACCGCTTTACCTCGCCGCCAACGAGGAACCGGTGGGAGTTCCACAACTGACAAATATTGAAGGCTGAGGATTGATAGCAGTGAAAGTTGTCGAAAAAAGTGCAACAAGTTCTTACATTTAAATCCGAAATCCCAATGCATAATTTATTTCTCAAAAGTTTGAACCCAGCTCTGAATGCGGGCCACAACTAACTTCCACTACCCATCATACGAATTGCACGGATGGGAAGCGAACCCCACAAGTTGAATAGGAACACTGGGCACGAACCTCGGAGACTCGTGTCAATAACGTTCTTCGTGGCTGATCCATGTGATGACTGGCATCGAACTCGAGATGGTGCGGACGCGACTGCTGGAGTAAGCTTTTCTTTCGCATGGAGCAGTGTTCACATGGTTCGAGCTCTGATTCTCTCGTGGCTTTATGAAACCGCACGAAGGGCTGCGACAAAGTGGAAGCGATGTTAATGAAATTCCAGGTGTTCAGTTTCATTCACGCCTGGTTTCATTCAGGTGGGAACAGGAAATGGGATTCCAGAATCGATATTCGCTGTGAGAAAAGCTAGCGTTGCAATTTCCGAGTCATTCCTTTATATCGAGTAGCGCAAAAAATAGCGTCCTGTTTGACGCTTTGGATGATCTAGGTTCGTGACGTTTTCGTATCACATTGGAAACACCACAAAATGTGTTTTATGAAAGTTCATGTATATAGGTTGTCGGAATAAAAATTGACAGTCGTTCAAAGTGGAGTCATAAAATGTACATTTTCCGTGCATGAGGTGGATGGAGTTTCAGCACTGCTTCGATTATTTCTTTCACTTGACGCCACAAAGACTGCTTTTTACGCCATGTCCTCGTAGTATTCTACAAGTCGTTGAACAGTACTACTATTGTACATCGTAGCATCAGAATCGATACCACACAGAATACTACGATGAGAACTGGCATAAAAAGAAGCATTTATGGTGTCAAGGGAGAGAAATCCTTCGAACAGCGTTGAAACTCCATCCACCTCATGCGCGGAAAAGGATCATTTTATGACTCCAATTTGAACGACTTTCAGTTTTTTTTCAACAATCTAGGTACATGAAACTTTCAGAAAACAAATTTTATGGTGTTTCCAATGTGATACGAAAACATCACGAACCTAGATCATCCACAGCGGGTTTTATAAAACGTCAAACAGGACGCGTTTTTTGGCGCAACCCGATATGTTTCCTGTTTCCAGGTATATTCCGCCCTCAAAATATCCATCTTTTTGCATTCCTGTTTGTTTGTGATTTGGGTTCTGAGGATGATCCTTCTCAGGAAATGTAATCTCATGCACTTATACATATGACTTAGGTTTGACACTTCTGATATCTCTCTATTTCTTCGTTTTTTGCTCTTTTGCTTTTTGTGCCTCTGATTCTCTGTAAGAACATGGTGACTCGCCGATGAGAAGCCCTGATTTAGAGCCTCCTCAGAGGGAGGAAGATCTTCCTTTTTAAAATGAACTAAATAATTTCGGGATTCAGCCCAAATTTCATTACGCATTTAAGCAACTGGGAATTCGTTAACCTGTACGTGATTCACGCCTTTTATCTGAATCTTCATCCTTCCGTTTTTAGAAAAAATTCAATAGCGTCAGATGTGCAGGACGCTTCCCTGACAGGTTCACTTAACTAAAACGAGTAGCTACATGTGACGGGCGTGACCTTCACCTTTCACCTCCTACCTTTGTGCCTTTCCAGCCTCACTCTCAGGTCGTTTGCTCATGATATCTTTGTGTCCCCCACCCTCGGGGGAGAGGGGGATGGAGAAGTAGAGAGATGCCATCATGAGCATGAGTTTTCCACTGCCTGGAAACGTACAGAATGGCCATCACCGAAGAAATGCAGCGTAGAAAGTGCAGGTATCAGCTGACTAGACGTTGGTAGGGTTCTGGGACAATAAGGGGATCACTCAGGTGGATTACATGCTACTAAGAGCTACCATTAATGCACATTATTACGATGACCCTCACCATTGTGTTCATTGTCGTCCACAATGGACGCGCCGAGGATTGGCGAGAGGAGTCGTGCTCCTCCTGCACGACGATGCCAGACTCCACGTAACAGTCTCCAACGTCCTGAGACGGGAGTGGACGGAAGGTCTTCCCGCATCCTGCAAAGAGTCTTCACTTGTCGCCTTCAGATTACCATATTTTGCATTCCTTTGAGTATCACGCCCCTCCCCCCATTCAAGACTGCAGAGGAGGTGAAAGAGGCCGTCTCCCGTCTCCATCTGGGTTCTCGAGCAGATACATCTCTTCTCCGGGATGACGGTGGCGAACTCGCTCGTCCCTGACAAATATGCATCGATGTTGTCGGTGATCGTGCGAAGCAGTCGCGAAATCACACAGAAGCTGTGCGTACCTGCAGGAAGTCTGTCGTAAACATTTTTCGACAACTTTCCGAATCGCTCTCGTGTATCCGATGAACCTTGATTTCATCGTGAGTGAAGGACAGGGTCAGGCCGTTCGTAGGTAATGGAATATATCGCGCTAAAACCTCTGGCTCTTTTCTCAGTATCGAGGGTCGTCCTGATCTGAATGCTCGAGTTTTCGCGGTCCTCGATGTCGATACCAGGAACCGGCCAGGAGAAACACATTATCACCTATTTTAAGGCAGAGAAGAGCAAAGGTGATGCACGTACCTAAAAGTTGACCCTCCATGTGGAATCGATGCATACGATAAATGTTTCGCTATCTAT